AGAGAGAGAGAGAGAGAGAGAGAGAGAGAGAGAGAGAGAGAGAGAGAGAGAGAGAGAGAGAGAGAGATAGAGATAGAGAGGAGAGGGGGGCGATCAGGAGGAGATACGAGAGGAAAGAAAAAACAAACTACGAAGACTGGTGAGACATCAAAGTAGCCCCTGCCCCCCCTCCACTTTCAAAGAATAACCGAAACCTAAACATTAATGGCCATAGAAATTACCAATGTTGTGATAACAAACCATAGACAGTCAACGCATCTTTCTACAGGGCCAATCACTTCAAAGAAGCCTAAAATAATCAATCACCCCTCCCCCACACAACTCTTCCCCCCACACCTATCCCCCTCCCTCCACATCCATTCAACACCATCCCCACACTAGAACCCACATCCACTCCTCACCCCTTACCCGTTTCTTCCAAATTTCGGAATTTACTCCTCACTTAACAGGATGGTTTTATTTTAAGCTCAACATAGTCACCATAAACATTTTCACCACCCGGAAAATTTTACAACTCGCATCTCCTGCAACTATGAATAACCCTCCCACTACACCATAGTCGCTGGTCATCACGCCAAACATGATAAATATGTAATTATAATATATTATTTTATTTCGTGGCCGATATATAGACTAGAAGAGGAGCATGTTACGCATCGTAAAAACATGTCGCTATTTCTCCTACTAATCAAATTCACAGCTGATGCGATTCAAAAGAAGCTGTTTCACAATCGATATGGTAAGACGTTAATTTCTCCTGAGTGTAAAGTGTGCACATTGTCTTTTGAAGAGTTCATCCCGTCTATGTCTATACATAGATAGCAATGATGTACACAGAAAAACATGAAAGATAATTCAATCAAACGTCAGATATTCAATACATTCTCCTAGCGAACCAGAATGGGGACAACAAATTTGAGCATATCCGTTCTTCTTCGAGTGTTGTTTGTTATTCAAATGTAGATTAAACGGAATAAAAATATTTAAGTTTTATATATATATATACGGTAACGACTAGACAAACCTCATCAGCATTGTTGTAAATATCGAAACAAATACATAACACAAACAAAACAAAAGCAAAAAGCAGATGATACTTGGTTTATTTCTGGATTTGTACGACATTGTTTTTTAAACAAAATTTTCAACGTTTCTCCCGTTTGGGTTTCATCAGGGACGTGATAAAAACAACATGCCCGTCTCTTAACTGATCTAAGATGAGAGCGCATAAACACCTACATAAAGTATTAAATAATCTTTATTACTGTTAATAGTTCTGTTATTGTTGTTGTTATTATTTTTATTATTATAATAGTATTATTATTATTATTATTGTTATTATTATTAGTGTAGTAGTAGTAGTAGTAGTAGTAGTAGTAGTAGTAGTAGTAGTAGTAGTAGTAGTAGTTGTAGTAGTAGTAGTAGTAGTAGTAGTAGTAGTAGTAGTAGTAGTAGTAGTAGTAGTAGTAGTAGTTGTTGTAGTAGTAGTAGTAGTAGTAGTAGTAATAGTAGTAGTAGTAGTAGTAGTAGTAGTAGTAGTAGTAGTAGTAGTAGCAGTAGCAGTAGTAGCAGTAGCAGCAGTAGTAGTAGTAGTAGTAGTAGTGATTTTATTATTATCATAGATAGTAAATGGTTGTCCAATGCTACCCCCCCCCCTACACACACACATGCACAACTTTTCTGCTCCGATCAAGAGTATGCGTTACCCATAAAAGTGTAATTACCTAAATTACGACCACTTTCCATTCGCTCATTTCATATCTGATACCACAGGGGCTGGATGAAATGACCTCCCATCTAACGTAATTCATGTGCAGTTGAAGTAATCTCAAGAGCTTGATATCTCATAGGGAAGGGCATTAATTTTTCTCGAGCAAATAAAATCTAGAATGCAATGATCCGATGAGAATTTTGGATTTTCATGCAATTACATATAACGTCATGTAAATGTGGAGCTGACGGGATTGTTTTTGGGTCGGTGATGTTTACAACAAGTTTAGGAACATCAGACATATGTAAGTTTTTTAAATTTAATTTAATTTAATTGTATTTCATTGAATGAATGAATGAATGACAGAATGAATGAATGAATGAACTTATTTATCTATATATCTATTTTCCCGGGGGAGGGGGGTGGTCTTT